GGCGAAACCCCGTCTCTACTAAAAATACAAAAAATTAGCTGGGCGTGGTGGCGGGCGCCTGTAATCCCAGCTACCCAGGAGGCTGAGGCAAGAGAATCGCTTGAACCCGGGAGGTGGAGGTTGCAGTGAGCTGAGGCAGCGCCACTGCACTCCAGCCTGGGCGACAGAGAGACACTCCGTCTCAAAAACAAAGTTAAATTAAAAAACTCATGTCTGCGGTAAACAGCCACCCTTCTTGGGGAAACTGAGTCTTTCTTCTGGAACCTCAGCCTTCTCGGGCAGACCAGTAACCTAGGCTGTGCCCTCCAGCCTCACTGTGTGGCCCTGAGCAAGACATTCTGTCTCTGTGTGCCCGTCCAAATTGGAGAAGAGGCATGATTCAATTTTGTGGGGGGTAGCTGCAGGGATGTTGGTCAATTCAGCTTCCCTCCCTGACCCCTAAACTCACTGGCCCAGACCACCCCTTGCCCTCACCACCGTCTGAGAGCCAAGGCTAGGGGGCTGGATATTTTGACCACAGTTGAAGGAAAGCTCACAGGTGCTGATCGTGTCTCCCCGGCCCCTCCCAGGCCCCTGGTGGACTTGTACAGCCGCCGGTACTTCCTGACCATCCCGTATGAAGAGTGCAAGTGGAGGAGAAGGTGCGCTTGGTGTCTGGGGTGTGGTGGGCTCCCGAGGGCCCTGTCTTGAATTCCCAGGTGGGACCAGCAGTAACTTAGAAAACGCCACTAGGGGCCGGGCGCGGTAGCTCCAGGCTGTAATCTCAGCACTTCCGGAGGCCGAGGCTGGCAGATCACCTGAGGTCAGGGGTTCGAGACCAGCCTGGCCAACATGGTGAAACCCTGTCTCTACTAAAAATACAAAAATTAGCTGGGCGTGGTGGCACACACCTGTAATCCCAGCTACTTGGGAGACTTGGGAGGCTGAGGCAGGAGAATCGCTTGAACCCGGGAGGCAGAGCTGAGATTGGATCACTGCACTTCAGCCTGGATAGCAGAGGGAGACTCTGTCTCAAAAAAATAAAAGGGGGCAGCCGGGCACGATGGCTCACGCCTGCAATCCCAGCACTTTGGGAGGCCGAGGTGGGCGGATCACCTGAAGTCAGGAGTTCGAGACCAGCCTGGCCAACATAGTGAAACCCCGTCTCTACTAAAAATTTAAAAATTAGCCCGGCGTGGTGGCGGGCGCCTGTAATCCCAGCTACTCGGGAGGCTGAGGCAAGAGAATGGCTGGAACCCACGAGGCGGAGATTGCAGTGAGCCGAGATCAGGCTACTGCACTCCAGCCTGGGCGACAGAGCGAGACTCTGTCTCAAAAAAAAAGAAAAAAGAAAGAGAAAACGCCACTGGACACAGGCCACATCCCAAAGCCACAGGCACTGGGCACTTAGCTGGCTGGAGCTCTGTGCCAGGCACCCAGAGCCCGAGGCCTGAATAGCACAGCCCACCCCAACCCTGTCCAGGGCATTTCCTGGGCCCGTAGGGGGAACATGCTGGAGGTTGGAGCCTCCAGCCCAGGACTTCTGACCGAGGGTCCCCTTGCTCAGAGGTTCTGTCCCTGACTGTGACAGCTTTCAGGTCCCCCCCCCAGGGATATAATCTTGGCATCACCCTTCTGTGCTCTAAGCCATCCTTGCCTTCTCCCTCTACAGTACCCGCAACTACACCGTCCCTGATCCCCCCGGCCTCTTCGACGGCCACGTGTGGCCCATGTACCAGAAGTACAGGCAGGAGATGGAGGCCAACGGTGTGGAAGTGGGTAAGCCCCTGAGCATGACCAGGCCTTGCCCTGGGGAGGACCCTGAGCCCAGTCCCTCTCCATCTTTTTTTTCCAAGACAGGATCTCGCTCCGTCACCCAGGCTGGAGTGCAGTGGCGTGATCTTGGCTCACTGCAACCTCCGCCTCCCAGGTTCAAGCCATTCTCCTGCCTCAGCCTCCCACATAGCTGGGATTATAGGTGTGCGCCACCACGCCCAGCTACTTTTTGTATTTTTAGTAGACATGGGGTTTCGCCATTTTGGCCAGACTGGTCTTGAACCCCTGACCTCGTGATCTGCCTGCCTTGGCCTCCCAAAGTGCTAGGATTACAGGTGTAAGCCGCCGCGCCCGCTCCCTTCTTGCTGTTGGTCCAGGAAATGGACTCCAGCAGCCCGACTCTGCAGGTCTCCTTGCTCCCGACCCAGCCGTCCACTCCTCCCCCTGTGCTCTGGCCCCCTTCCTCCTGGCGGCCCTGACCGCGGCCTTTCTGATTTCAGTCTACCTAGACGGCACAAAGTCCCGAGAGGAGCTCTTCCGTGAGGTCCTGGAAGATATTCAGAACTCGCTGCTGAACCGCTCCCAGGAATCAGCCCTCTCCTCGGCTCGCCCAGCCAGGCCACAGGGACCCGGACGCGGATGCGGCCACAGAACGGCCAGGCCTGCGGCATCCCAGCCGGACATTGTGTGACTGTTTCCCTAAGCGGGAGGTCTGTACGTTGGAGAATGGAGGCCCCACTCCCAGTTGGGTGTCCCAGAGCTCAGGGACTGAGCCCCAAGACGCTTCTGTAACCTCGCTGCAGCTTAAATATTAAACTGGGTCCTGTTTTTTTAACTGTTGGTGTCTACTGTGTTCTGTTTAAGATCCTGTCAGGCCAGGTGCGGTGATTCATGCCTGTAATCCCAGCACGTTGGGTGGCCGAAGCGGGCAGATTACCTGAGGTCAGGAGTTCGAGACCAGCCTGGCCAACCCTGTCACTACTGAAAATACAAAAATCAGCCAGGCATAGTGGCGCATGCCTGTAATCCCAGCAACTTGGAGGGCCAAGGCAGGAGAATCGCTTGAACCCAGGAGTTTGAAACCAGCCTGGGCAACATACTGAGACCCCCGTTTCTGTTTTTGTTTTTATTTATTTATTTATTTTTGAGACGGAGTCTCGCTCTGTCGCCCAGGCTAGAGTGAAGTGGCACGAATCTTGGCAGTAAGCCAAGATCGCGCAACTGCACTCCAGCTGGGTGACAGAGCGAGAGCTGTCTCAGAAAAAAAATTAAAAATTAGCTGGACATGGTGGTACACCTGTGTAGCCCTGGCTACACAGGAGGCTGAGACAGGAGGATTGCTTCAGCCCAAGAGGTTGAAGCTGCAGTGAGCTATGATCGGGCCACTGCACTACAGCCTAGGTGACAAAGCGAGACCCTGTCTCAAAAAAATTTTTTTTCTCAATGTCTATAAATAAAGTTTTATTGGCACCTGGCCCCTGCCATTTGCATGTGTCAGCCCTGTGGCTGCTTTAGTACTACAATAGCACGTTGAGTCACCCCGACAGAGGAGGTCTGTCTGCAAAGCCTGCAAAGCCAAAAATATTTACTATCTGCCCCTCTGTGCAAAACGTGTGCTGAACAGTGTGGTGTATGGCAGGTCGAGTCCAGGGCCACAGGGAAGGTCTGAGGTCTGTGTGCTGGAGGGGAGGCAGGAGTGGACATGGAATGAGAGGATGACATGGAAGAGGTGGCTTGCCAAGGCTTGTCCTTCACCATAAGCACGGAGTGTGGTAAGGATGATCTGCCGGTCACTGCGCCCAAAATAGTCCAGGACAGGACAGAGAAGTAAGACAGAGAGGTGGCTCCAGGACAGCAGAAGCCCTGCCTGGCAGCCCAGACACCTTGGGCATTATTGTTTAAAAAAAAGAAAGGTTCATGCCTGTAATCCCAGCACTCTGGGAGGTTGAGGTGGGAGGATCACTTGAGCCCTGGAGTTCCAGACCAGCCTGGGCAACATAGTGAGACCCCCGTCTCTACAAAAAATGATAAAATATTAGCCGGGCGTGGTAGCTCATGCCCGTAATCCCAGCACTTTGGGAGGCCGAGGCAGGTGGATTGCTTGAGCCCAGGAGTTTGAAACCAGCCTGGGCAACATACTGAGACCCCGTTTCTGTTTTTGTTTTTATTTATTTTATTTATTTATTTTATATATTGAGAAATAAATAATAAATATTATTTATTTATATTAGCTCTGTCGCCCAGGCTAGAGTGAAGTGGCACGATCTCGGCTCACTGCAAGCTCCACTTCCCAGGTTCAAGCGATTCTCCTGCCTCAGCCTCCCAAGCAGCTGAGATCACAGGCATGCACCACCACGCCCAGCTAATTTTTTTATTTTTAGTAAAGACGGG